GTGCGTCCCCACTGTTTCCTTTCTTCTCTTTGCTGGAATCAGAGACGAGCCGCCATTTTACTCACCATAGGTAACATTATCCAATTGTGCTTACTTATTAGTGCAGTCTAAAGATTGGTGACACTTTGAATTTCATAGCAATTGGTTTCTGCGACAAGTACACCTATTTGTGGTATTTATTTGTGGCAAAGATCTTATTTTCACTTTACCAAGTGCCTAGTAGGTAATGTGCGGATTACCTAGATACTCTGCACATTATCTAGATAATTTGAGAAATGGAACAATTTTCACAACTTTAACGGATCACCCTAGTTAATCTGCAGATTAACGACTTTTGAGCTTTAGAGGTAACATATACATGCACAAAAAAACATCAAGAATAAAAAAGCAAATAAGTTTACAAACAAGACATTTGCTAATTTTGCTATTTAATTCTTCAATTCTTTTGTTCAGTTATATGATTAAGCATTCAGAAAAATAAAATGAGAACTTAAATAATTACATGAAATCTTCAAATATTTGAATTGCAAATTCACACATTTGTGGTTGAGATGTACTGTACAGTACACCTAATTCTGTTTTAACATTGATATTTTTTTACATGATTCTGATTTAACAGAGTCTGGAAACAAAATTCAGTTCTCTATTTATATGATTTGTTTCGATCTAACATTTTTCAATAAATTTGCCTGTTTAAAAATTTCAGTTTGATTTTAATTTTTAAGATAAAATTTCCAAATTTTCTTTTCTACAAAATTTAGAATTTACATTTAAGGCTGCTATACACACTCAATTTTAAGATATTGCTGTGTTTTCTATGACCTATTTGGATGTGTGTTTTGTCAATCAAACTTTTTCCCATGATTGAAACAGAGAAAAACTTAATTCAAAGTTGAACACTATTTGTATGATTTCATTTCTTTTGATTTCTTTCAATACAGAATTGTTTTTGTATACCATTTGGTGTTAAATGCTCAAGACATTTTGGTGTTTACTTGCAATTGAAAAACGAATAAAAAATAAAATTAAAATAAAGTGTGTATAAAATAAATTTATTAAATAAGTTAGTTAAAATTGTTCCTTTTCTAAATTTATTAACTAAAACTGAAATATTTTAAGATCTTAAGTAAAAATAGTACAATTTAACCAGTAAAAATAATACAATTTCTTTTCAATAAATTGTATTATTTTTACTGGTTTTTAAGATTTGGAACCAATCTCATTTCCCATATGAACTGCCTTTCTTTAAATAGATTTTTCAGAAACTTATCTATCATGTAAAGACAGATCTGGATTTTGAAGCTATAGCGATTTAATCAAAGATTTTATGATTATTTTGATCAAAAGTGTTTATAATTAAATAGAATGCTATTTAAGAAAGTTATAGTATTTTAATTTTGATTTAAATAAATAATTTTTGCTTCATTGAAAACTAAGCCTACATTTTGCATTAATGATGACAATAATATTTATATTATGTGAGTAATAATAGTATACTTATATTATTATTCATATACATACATAAATTATAATTTTCTATATTAAATAGTCTAAAATAAGATAAGTAAAATATACTCCACAATTGTTAACTCAAAGTGAAGAAATTCTATTTTTGATATTAAATACCAATAACATTCTCATATTTGAAAAGTATAGGATACAGGGCAAGTGAAAGTCCCTTGCAGTCTCTTCATTCCAAAAGTACTGAAAATATATTTTATTAATGTAATTACATAGGAAGTCATGTGTGGAGAATTGGATGGGACCTTGAAATGATTTTTGAGGTCATTTGTATTGTAACTTTTTATTATGTAAAACTTCTAATGATAAAGTTAAAGATCACCATTTATCTAAAGCTATTTTATAGATTCAAATAAATGCAATAGGACTGCATTATTTGCAACTTTAAATTTATGATGAGTAAAAGTAATTTCATTTTATCAATACATGACTTTCAAGGTCATGTAAAACAAAATCACTTTTCAATATAGATTTAATAGTGTAACTCACAGTTAAGAATTAACAGTAGAGAGAAATTCCTCTATGTTAAAAATATGAAATTATCTATATGGAATTTTGGAGGTCTGCAGTAAATCTCTGATAACAGTTGGGATATCATGCTGTCTATCATATAGTTGCCAACCATCAGCATTTGGTGCTGACTAGCAGCATTTTGTATGCTCCACCAGTGGACAAGCCACTTTCCCTTGTCATTGTTTTTAATGGATTTGATATTATCACAAACTTCTATGCATTTGGAGCTAGAACTAATTTAAAATGACTAAGACAAAACCTTTCTCACTTCGTTTCTAGCTGTTTAAAGACTGAGTACAAATGTTTTTGGCCTCAGTCTTTAAATGGCTAGAAATGAAGTGAGAAAGGTTTTGTCTTAGTCACATCACATAAACACTTCATTTAATGAGTCTTACACCAATATATACACCAAAGACATTGTATGTATTTATTACAACTTACTGAAGTGAATCAGAATGATGTTCTGAGATTCCTTCAATTGTGAAAAAAACAAGATTAATACTTTTATATATGCATGAGAATTTTAGCTCAAATTTGATAATTTTAAATGGAAGATAAGATAAATTGCATCTTCAAGTTTGGCAACTTTACTGCCATCATACTGGCAGTTAGATCAAACCTGGTTTCCTTTTGCTGATCAGTCAACCAATATTGATATATAATTGATATAATATATATTTGGTATAACAGTAAAAGTTACATTTACCATTATACCAAATAATTGGAACAGCACTATAGTTTCTCTACCCAAAAAAGAAAAACATCTTTCATTCAACACCTAAGAATGTACATGCTGTATGGTATGAACTTTCTCAAGAAACTAAATGCTTCTTTGAGATTTGTGGGATTTTATGAAGATTTGTAATCTTTGTAAAATAGTAAAAGTAATGGCGGTAAAACCATCAACAGCCATACTATTAAAAGGAAAAGATATTCAGTATGGTAAGAAAAAGACAGATAGGAAATAAATAACCAGATAAATTATTGTCCTTAATAAATGTAGTGAAAGCCAATAAACTGATTGATACCAACTGTCACTAGCACATTGTACTGCAACAAAAGAAATTAACAAAGCAAAACAATGCACAAAGACATAATATTTCATGATGAGTGTCTCCTGTTAAGTTTCATGATATATCAAGATGGAACACATCATAAATCTAGGTGTATATTTGTTTATGGCAATAGCTTTGTAAGATATACTGTATATGCAGAGATAACATTAAATTTTGTTTATTAAAAGGTATTTAATTAAAACTCAAACCCTTAAATATCTGGATTTAAAGATAAAAGAACTTAAGCAACTTTCAAAATAAACGGCTTATTTATTGGTATTTAATAGAAATTGTTATATATACGCATATCTGGCGCGAGTAAGCGCGTGAATTACTCAATATGGCGGAGGACACTGGTAAACGTGTTTTCGATGTCCGTATTAAATTTAAATTTCATTTAATCAAGTTCAAGAAGAGGTAAATACAGTTCACACAGTTTATCAGGTATATTATTTGAAATAATGTGAAAATTCACTTACATCTTTTAAAATGCTTAAAATGCTGAATTCTTTACTCATGTAAGGTGATATCTTAATACTCCGTTCACTCATTTTGAATTAATCGAAGATCAAAAAACAAAAATTCTAAAAAGAAATCATCTTTCACAAGCAGACATGTTCGAAAGGATCCTCCTCCTAACCAGATGGCAACAGATTTATTTTTTGTAATTTGTAAGAGTAGTGTTGCCAGTTAAATAGATATATTTTTATTGATAGATAACTTTAATCCTTTTATATGGAGATTTTAATATAATTTTCGAATCGTCTTAAATATTTTAGTATTAATTAAAATAAATATTATTATATATAAATGAAGTCCAGAATATACTTCTTTTTTTTTCGTTCCGTCCGGATACTCCAGAGTGGTAGGCTATATTCTAGGACCTTGACAGTTGTCTAAAATATAATAAAAATGATATCGCACAATTTTAATCTTGGCTATAATATGCCTAATTCATTATTTATATATTACGTAATACTACTATCTTGTATTAAATTTAATAATTTAAACATTCTGGAAGAAAATATCGATTCGGAAAGAAACTAAACCTGTAACTTCTACTTGTTTGTTTAGTAGTAAGTTGGGCATCAGCTTCTTTGGCTAGTTCGCCCCGTCGTGGTACGTGTAAACCCATTGGCTAGTATTAATAGTTGGATAAGTTTATCCATACGGTGGACGTAACGCGCGGGAAATCCGGGAGGTCTTTTTAAGTGTAAATGGCCCATATTTAGGTGTTACAGACGTGGAGTAAACCCGGAAAACTCTAACATGGCCAGCCCATCCGATCGAGGCGCGAATACACGATCGAACTGTCCAGTGTTCGAGGAACGGTACCGCTTGGCCACTGGTGGGCCTTACTATGTGGATGCATTTTCTTTTTGTTCTTCCCATCTGTGGGCAGTAAAAGTCTTTTTTTTTTTTTTTTCCAGGCTCAGGCCCATTAGAGATCCTGCCAAATCCATAACAGGATGGCCTAGTATTCCGTCTCTCCAGGAATTTTTCGACCAGTGCTGATTCGGTCTCGAGTATGATGTACAGTACAGTACTGTACAAGGACAAGACACTATAATTTGAGGTAGAGAGCATATATTATATTTTAAATTATTTATTTATTTATTATTATGAAATAAATGTTAAAAAATATAAAAATATGATATGGTTAGTTTTTATTTTATCACTTCTTACATTCTGAACTTCACTGTAAGTGATTTTGGATGCTAAAAGAAGTACTTAATATTTTATACTTATACACATTGTATTACGCAATGGATGACTAAAATTGTACTGAATTTTAAAAAAATAAGTCAAGGCCACTTACAGACTTTTTGAAATACTTAAAGTATTCTCATTTATTGCAAAAATATAAACAAATACAGTATTTTACTACATTATAATAATGTTTTTAAATTTCAAAACATATCTTTATAAAGCCTACAACATTCTACAAAAGTCTAAGTTCTGTTTTACACGTATTGAATAATTTAAATAATATTAATAATTGCATTGTGACGATCTCACAATAAACAATCGCTCGTAATAAAGTACAATAGAGCCTCGATTATCCGACTCAATTGGGGACTGGTGTTGGTCGGATAATTGAAAAGTCGGATAACCGAAAAGCATGAAAAAATCCATTATTAGTGTAGTATATTATTATATCCCATGTAATTAGTATATTAGTATATCGCTAATAACCTACTTCGCGTTGAATTTTCATCGATGTTAAGCCTAACAAAAATTTTTTTAAATAATAATCGTCGCTATTGTATCGTTAAAAATTATTTCTTTATTTTTTACAAACAAAATAAATATATCGAAAAATATAAAAACAAAACGAAATTAGACTTTAGAAGTTAATCTAGTATCAAAAATGTTCGATTCAGCACGACAGTCCTCAGAAAAACAGCATACAAAAATGCCAGCGCTGCCAGCTAAAACACACACATCAACAAAAAAAATATTAGAGTAGCCCAAGATATAGCCAAAGATTGCAGCGCCACAGCACTAGCGAAAATTTAAATTTGTGGACGAATTCTTTCGGATAACCGACTTTCGGATAAACGATGTTCTAATGTAATTCATTTTTCAAATTTGTTCTATTGATAACTGTAAAGAACATGGATTTTAAAATGTAAATATGGATAGAAATGTTTTATTTATTCTTTTAGAATTAATTGCTTTTGTTAATTTTGCTAAATGTGACTCGATGACAACTGATTCATATGAAATTAAGAACATAACCCGAACTAATATTGTAGTAACTTCGGACGATGCTAAAAATATTAAATATTTCCAATTTTTTTTAAAGACAAAAATGTTAAACCTTTTTACGTTGGAAGATGTTGGTGTTTTCTCTTCGGCAGCCAAGATATTTATCCATGGAGAAAAAACGATAAAAAAAATGCATTTAAAAAATATGGCAAAGTTATCTATAAGGAAAGGATATATTCGGAAAGATTATTTCACTGTAAATGAAGAAATAAATGCTTACGGGTATTCGCTCAATAACGAATTTACCGGAAGATTTCAGTATGAAAATGAGACGTATTATATCGAACCAGAATATTTTCATACAAAGAAAAAATCGTTTAGACAAGAAGATAACATTGTTTATAGATTGAAGGACGTGATTTTTAAATTCACATATCAAGATGATAAGATTAGCTGCGACGATGTAATTGAAGAGGAGCCATTTCAACCATTGGTTTATGATCTTTCGTTTATTCATATATCCCATAATTTCATGAAACATCGGAAGTAAGTTAACTTATAATTTATTAACGAAACAAAAATTTTAAATATAGGCCTATATATATATTTGATTCACTCTTATATTTACGATTTATGATCGTCATAATTAAATATCAAATACTGTATTGGCATTGTTATTCAAATACAATACATATTTTCAAATATTGCGTTGCCTATACACATTGTATTACGCAATCAATATCGCCGTTGGTAACGATTATACAAAGATAACAGTTTATAATATGTATAAAAAAATAGTCGACACATTAATTCTAAACATTTATTTTTTTTTAGTAATCGAAGAAGTTGTTCTCTCGAACTATTCGCCGATCATACATATTTCGAGTATATGAACAAGGATCACCAACAGATCGTATCAGAAATGATCTTTTATGCCATGAATGCAGACTTTATTTTCCGAAATACAGATATAGACGAAGACGGGCAACCGGACGGAATTGGATTTAACATAGAGAAAATTACAATTTTCGAAAATGAACGTCATCTGTTTTATCCTTTACGTAAATTTAAAACAAAAGATGCTAAAAGGTTTCTGGAAAACTTAGCTCAATATTCTCATCCATATTGTATGATGATTTGTTTTACTAATCGAGATTTCTCGACTCCATCTACTTGTACTATTGGAAGAATGAATAAAATCGGTGGAATTTGTTTTAATGACTCGCAGGATTCCGTTTCAAGAAGTAACGTTGCGTTTGTGACAATCAGACAAAACAGTAAATTGATACCAAGAGTCAAAGTAGCTGCAAATTTAGTACATATATTAGGGCACGCTTTTGGATGTCAACACGACTCGGAAAACAATAATTTCTGTAGTTCCGCGAACGATACAGAAAATGGAAATTTCATCATGCATCCAGAAATACCTTTCGGAACATTATCAAACAACTGGAAATTTTCATCTTGTTGTAGAAAAACCATGAAAGAAGTTATTGAAAAGAAAGGTCAGAATTTAAATAACCTTTCTATAATTGATGTTTAGAATAACGATTTTATTTTTAAAATTTTTATAAAATATATACAGTGAAAACTGCTTAGGCGACCACCTGCATTCGACGGGCACCTGCCAAAACGGGCAAAAATTTCAGGCACGGAATAGTTTATCCATAGAGTCTTCGTATAAGTTACCTGTATTAAACGACCACCTGTGTAACGCGACCGCGGGCACCGATTTTTGGTCCGAAACACCATACAACACCTGTAATAAGCGACCACTTTCGCGAATGTATCTGGTCTAAACTATTGTAAGAACCCATCTCAACAACATTTCCACCTCCTAATATAATGAATTAGTCTAAACTCTCGTTCGAACCCATCCCGGGCACTTCTCCCACCCTCGAAATTAGGTGCAGGTGTTAATAAATTAGTCTAGCAACAAAGGAAATTCATTTCAGTTTGTTGGAAAATGTCCGAAATGCAAAGTGCTGTCGTTAGAAGATCGTATTAAAGTTATCACAACAGCAATTAGCGGCGAAGTTTAACTGTGGGAAAACAAAATTTATTTTACCCTAGACCTACAGTATTTTCCTTGGGGGTGTAAAATATTGTACACGATACAATTAATCGGCTGATCTCATCGTTTGATAAAATCTATTTTTATTTATTTATTTTGAAGCTCATATACAGTACACGTGCGATAAATAGTTTCTGTATCAACCTACCTTATTTCCACGATATTTTTAGAAAAATAATATCCAAGTAATTTTCGCAGGCAAAATATTCAAAAAACAATAAACGCATTAATGCAAAAATCAGTTTTACTTCCTTTTTCGATTCCGCGATTGTAATGAAATCGTATAATGAGAAAAAATAATAAAATCGTTTTATTATTAATTAATAATTTTTCTTATTGTACTTAATTAATTAAGAAAATATTAAATATTAAAAAATACAGTATTTTTAAAGTTGAAATAAGATTAAACTAACGAAAACTAAAATCAAAGTGATGGAGAGATAGGACGCGCTTGTATATTGATGACGTAATACACGTAACTGAGGAGCGAACGAAAAGAACAGAGTCGAATTAATTAAGTCGGAAAAAAGAAAGTGTGCATTATAATCGAGAAAATGCGACTATAGTATTAATCTTTAAAATATTGGTATTAAATCTGTCTTATAATATGATGAGGATTCCTGTAAATCGGGTTATCCGAAAAGAATAAAATACAATACCAATATAGCCCTATCGTTGAAAAAATTCGCTTATTTTTGCTCACCTCGAGTTTTGCTTAGTAGAAATGGCTAAAAAGTGCGCAAAATCGTACGGAAATACGGTATTACAGCACCACCTGTATTGGACGACCACTTGCCTAAAAGACCACTTTTTGAACGAACCGTGGGTGGTCGCCATAGACAGGTTTTACTGTATCTGATTATTAATGTCAAGCGCAAGTACTGTAAATTATGGACGTATACCTCGCGACAACAAATGATTCTTGTGACCCACTCCTAATGAGCAATCCATAGCCAAGTGGGTCACAATGAATAAAATTGGTTTCAATTTTATTCATTGTGGATGAGTCATAATCAGGGGCGGAGTGGCCAATCAAAAAATTTTCCAGTAGGCAATTTTGGTAAAATGATGAAATCTCATTAGAATTTAGTCAAGTTGATAAATCTCGAAAGACAGACATTTTTGATACTAACATTACAGAGCGATATCGCATTTTATATTACAAAGCTTTTGTAAAATTTCAAAATCTAATCTATTTAGTAACGACGTACGTCAGGAATAGAAAAATATTTTGGATTTATTTAATCCGTTCTGAAACAATTAACTGCTAAATTATTTTTTGTAAATTTTTAGGCACACATTTACATTATATAAATAAGATAGCTATGTAATACATATCTAATTGCTTATCTGTCATGTACAGTACGGCCAACCCGATATTGAAGCTTATCAATCATTTGTTGAAATTTTAAATTAATTTAATTTATAATATTCTAATTTATTCTAATGATTAAATTTAAAGAAAATAACACTAATGTACAGTACACTGCTGTTACGTGGCAATAACAGTCTCGAACAAGTTATAATCGAGCAACGCGATCGTGATCGTTTAGAATTTAAAAGAGATAATTGAAGGTTAGAAATACTACTCATAAACAACAATAAAACTATTTAATTATTCGACTAGTCTACATGACACATCTAGGAGACATTTAACACATTTAAGATTACATTAAAATAAAGTTCTATACAGTGAACTGTATACAGACTAGTGTTGCAACTAATAGTATATTCGGCCTCAGGTCGAATACCAAATATTCGGCCAGGAGCGTGGCCGAATAGCTGAATATTCGGCCAAACTATTCGGCTTGATTAACGCACGTACGAAAATTGGCACGCAAACCGCATTATGGCTAGGACCTTGCTCTCTATTGGCCCGCTGTCGCTACGATTCGCCAATCGCGTTAATTCTTGACAGTTGTAGCGGATAGACAAGAGCGTCATTGCATTACATTTAGTGGAGCACTCCCTCTAACCTGTAATCTGTAGCATTAAATGCTACTGACTTGAGGTACTCCTCTTTTAATTAACCCTGCTTCGCATATGCTTTTCAGGTAGTTATGATTACATAGTCGCGGTCGTAGCCGCAATATATTAATACCCGACAATTCTATTTTTATTTACATTAATTATATTGTTTTGTTGAGTAAAGTATTTGATATCATTAGTTTGACAATGATCTATGAGAGAAATTTTTATGTTCTGTTTTTATAACAAATTTTTATAAATTTATTGAAATAATAATATATGTTAATATTATTTATAAGGCTACTTTTCCTAATAGGCCAATTGTAACGTTCTTTGTTACAAACTAATTTTAGTTCGTTTCCTATTTTTTCATATTGAATACAGCAAATCCCACGGTTTTCATCATCTCGATGATTAAATCTATAATGATATTTCGCAAAATCTCCATGTCCTGTCACGAATCTTGTAAATTTGTGTCCAATTTGTAGATGTTTGTTATTGAACCTTTGGTTAATATCTGGTATGTATTCAAAGAGTTCCCTTCCTTTTGTAGTTATTTATCACATACTGCCAAGAGTGTCATGACAGTGTGTGATAAATGATGATATCAAATGTGGATAACAATGAAATGACCTACACGTGTAAATAACGGAAAAAGAACAGAGAAGGACCGCGAAGTGAAAATGTGAAAATAAATATGAACTTGCGTTGATGATATAATCGAACAAGTCGAGGCAAGTCGAGGCAATCGAATAAGTCGAAGCTTATTGGCGCGAAATTCGCGGCCGTCAATGCAAAACAATTGTTGTCATAGACTTCGGAAAGCTAAATGCTTGTAATGAAAGTCACTTAGCGTGCACGGGCGAAAGCCTGGGGCCGTTCGGGCTACTAAGCTGTCTCGAATCTGTGAAATCATAACTGTGACTTATAACGACATCCTATCTGTCTCTTTTCTCCGTTACGTAATTGTAAAATGGGAAATCTACGACGGAAAAGTGACGAATCGAAAGTATCGTGAGCGCGTATTATGATGTATGCATAGGCGTACAGTACGTGGACTAGAGCGATAGAGGAAATAGAAAGGGAAGAGCAAAGACGAGCGCTTAAAAAGAAGGATAAGCAGGGTCAGACCCTCAGATGTGCGACGATTCTCGAACGAATAGGGTGTCTACGTCTGCTGATATTTGTACTTATAAATTGTGAATACATTATACATGTGACTAATATTATGAACTTTTTTATTTTGTGCATGTTATAAGTTATAAATAAATATAAACAANGCAGGGTCAGACCCTCAGATGTGCGACGATTCTCGAACGAATAGGGTGTCTACGTCTGCTGATATTTGTACTTATAAATTGTGAATACATTATACATGTGACTAATATTATGAACTTTTTTATTTTGTGCATGTTATAAGTTATAAATAAATATAAACAAACAACACTAATCCGATAACATTAAATCTAAATACCAAAATGATTAATTTACTGTGTTTTTGTTATTTCTTACTCCTGTTTTTAGGTATTCGGTATTCGGCCAATTAGTGATTAAATATTCGGTATTCGGCCGAATAGCGAAAAATAGGCCGAATAGTAACCGAATATTCGTTACATCACTAATACAGACTGTACTCTAAAGTCGTTAGTATAATAACATAAAATACAATAATCTAAATCTACTTATAATGTGTTTGTTGATCGATCTATGTACTACAACCAAGTTGTACTCTCTGCGATTTCCGAAAGATAAATTAACACACTTATCTTAGGTCGGGGAGTTATCCTCGAAGCTCCTTTGTCCAGCAGTTAAGACAGCATTTCAGGCAAATGGATTATCTCGGGAGGCGAGTCAAGAGTCCGACGATATAGTGGGAAGTCAGGCAGATGGAAGGGCTGAAATCTACTATGGGTCTTACTGACTTATCCGAGGTTTCAAACCCAATTTTTGGCTACGCACCTTGGGTCACTATTAGCCACCCACACTAATCCGAATAGTCTCTCATAAGCGAGGAGCTACTTCGGATTAAAGATGACTCACTGTTTTCGAAGAATACACATCCATCTCTACTTACCAGACTGCTTTTTAATCTTTAAACAGCGCACTATCTTCGAAATTCCTTCGGATGCAGAGATGTAGCATTACTCTACCAAGGTGAATCAGCTAATTCCTCTGTTGTGTTTCGAATTTTAGAGTGCATGACTCACTTTCGTCTTTACACTGCACACATCATAAGGTCTCCAGTAGACCATATTGATCTTTTATTTGGATTTATCATAACCGCCAACCCCGTTTAAACAACTTTGTGGCGAGATTTGTAAAATACGTGTAAAATAATAATATTTTATAAATTTCAAATACACTCCTCAGACGGTCATAGAAAATAATACACACAAAGTATATTATGACCTCGTGATAATCATAGACAAAACAATACATCACATAAATTATACACAGTTATACGAAATACTGTACGCACAACATACAAAATATAGTACATAAACTGAAAAAATTAGTAAATACTCGGAATTTGTCCACAAAATAAGGAACACAAATTTCTCGGAATTTGTCCACAACCAGTACCTTATTCATATGTGAAGAATGAAGGTACTAATTGTACCAATAGTTAGATTTGATTGTTTTTATACGGCAAGAGACACGTGGACGAGCTGCTGGAATGGGGAATGCCTCCGGAGAGGTATTACAGGCAGAATGAGCTATTGGTGGGCCCATTGTGCCGGTAGTACTTCTTCCACAGGCGTCATACGACATACACTACACAAAAGTCTAGAAACATTAAGGCTTCATAATAGCACTTATTGAAATACCTCACACTACGAAAGTCTGCCTTATCACACACATCACGTAGTCAGGAGTCAGGAATTTCTTAGAGCCGCCGCAAACTAGCGCTTTGCGAGAGAAAAACGCTAGGAAACGTGCGCTAGCACATCCGATGACGTCAAAGGCTCCACCCGTTTCTTCGTGGCCGCGCAGTTTTTCCTTTGCTAGCGCAGCGATGCGAGCGTACTCTCGCTATTGACAGAATTCAACAGATAGAGTCACGCTAGCAAGAGAGAGCGGGGAAAATGGATGACTACATAAACATGTTGTCAAGCGTCGAAAAAGAAATAATAGAATTTTATCGATGTAAGTAAATTACATGATTAATACATTCAGTATTGAAAAGAAAATAGTATAAAACGTTGTACATAAATATTTTCGGCTGGTTAAGCCCAACTAGTTAGTTAAGCCTAACTAGTAGGCATGTTTCTCGCATGCTGTTTCCAAGTTCGGAACGAAAACTGACTGATTACAAGTATAGGTTATAATAAAATCTTTGTTCTATAGCCAATCCACATCTGTGGAATCCAAGTCATGCGGACTATTACCAAAAGAACAAGAGGGATTCCACACTAACACAGTTAAGAGAGCTTTTAGCTTTTGAACACGGAATCAACATCACTTGTTATTAATCCTGATTATGAATTTAATAACGGCCTAATAACACTAGTCGCTAATCTCCCATGATGCAGCAATTTACGTCAGCAAACGTTGTGTAGTTTGTGGCTGCTTCATGCTCGCGTAGCTTACCTAGCAAAAATGGCTCATAGCTTCATGATAAAAAAGGCGGGATTTTGGAGCACGACCGAGCGTACGCTAGCTCCCGCTTCCTGTAGTTTTCGGTGGCTCTTAAACACAAATATAGAAACGAACAGTAAACGAAGCAATTTTTTCTGTCGCTATTCTTTGAATTTGGCGTTAGGCACGAGTATATAAGCCGAATAGGATATAGTACATTAATTAATTAATATAGTCCAACACAATCAAAATAACAATAACAACATTATATTTTATGCGGCCGGTTGCCGAGCGGTCAAGATGGCAGCCTACCGCTCTGGGGGATCTGAGCTCGAATCCGAACGGGTCGAAAAATCCCAGGAATTTTTCGGGGAGTGGTCCGTTCGGATATGTCAGGCCCCGTCCCTCACCACCCGGCAGCCCCATTGTGGGCCTGGCCACACCCATAATAGGCTTGCAAAAAGAGACCCTCTTAGTGCCCACAGGGCGGAAAGAGTTTTAAAAAATTTATATATATATATATATTT